ACTACTACTACTACTACTACTACTACTACTACTACTACTACTACTACTACTACTTTTGTTATGACGACGACGACGACGACGACGACTACTACTACTACTGACTGCAACAACACTCACCCCCCCAAAAAAATCTAATCAAAAAAATGCTCTAATAATTTCGTTTTGATTCTGAAACATGTAAATGTTTTTCGCTAATGAGTGGTCTTTGGCCTGTGCAGGTCACGATATTAAAGATAATCTTTTTGTTGATCATTTGAATTTGTTGTTGATAAGGATAAGGTCATTAATTTCTTTTTGGTAAATGTTGGATTTTGATAGTTCACTCCTCCAGTCACCCACTCGACACCTTTGTTTCTGTGAGGAAAATGCAACGACACGCCGCGTAGAGCATGACATGCAGAAAAGACTTATCACTGCGCAAAATTGACGTGATGCCCTCCCCGCGGCATTCAGCCTGCGTAAGCAGCTATGAATGGCGCTTCATATCAGCATATCCCAAGTTTTTTTGTGGCAACAGCAATCCATAGGCCTCCGCTGGTAGACGGGACAAACACTATACCAAGTACACCACGAAGGTACGAACCTGAGAGCTGCAGTGGGGCCCAAAACGGATCAAACCGTCTCCTGTACAACGCTTTGTTTGGTTGGATGGGCTCTACACCGACAATGCCATTTATTTTGTCCTCAACATGCTCAATGAGAGCCCGGAGAAACCTTAAAGTCTGTCGGCGTCGACGTCACCGGCAGCTACAACAATGAGCCCTGCTTGACCGACGGTGTTGAAGACGGTGTTGCAGATCCGGAAGTTCAAGCAGCGGAAAGGGCTATGCCGGCTAAGCCAACGTTCTGCACCGAGACTGACGACGTCTTCCACGAGGAGCCACCTCTTGAACCCATTGAGGAGCGCTCCGGGTGATCCTCCTCAGGGCGATGATGATGACGACGACGACGATGATGATGATGATCCAGTCGAGACAGTATGGATCTTGCCGGATGGGCGTCACTCCCAAGAGGTGAGCAGCATCACCCTCGCCCAAGAATGGACCAAACCTGGGCGGCAAGCCCAAAGAGAAGTGAGTCGCAGACTTGAGATGCCAAGAGGTCCACCAGCATGCGGCCAACGCGGCGATTGGTAGAAAGACCGCGTTTGCTCAAGAATGGTGGCCGGCAAAGCTGGTTCCAAGCCAAATTCCAGGACAGTTCACATTTTTATGGTTCAGTGCCTTTCGCCGCCAATGGAGTTGTCGCCTTCTTCAAGTCCGTTCCTCATCAATTCAATGAGACTACCACCACGGATGGCTCCAATGTCCTTCGCTATTTGGTTTTGGCGACGTTTGTTTAGATCTCATGGGGCGCGTCAGATGACAGGCGGAAGGAGATCCGTCCGTTGAAAATCCTGGGGTCACGCTGGTGTTGGTTGTGGCTGCTGCTGTTCTCGCCTATAGCCGAAAGTGGCGGCTAGGTGAACTGGTTTGTTGAATCGCCGCCTTGGGAATTACATCTCGCGATCGTGTTTTGCCGCTGTAAAGGAGAAAGGCTCGTAGTCAAGGAACTGCAAAGGAAGTCTCCCGGTAGTCGGTTTGGCCACCACTTGAACGCGGGTAGCGCCCAAATGGAGAAGGTTTGGATTTTCTTGCCTTCGCCGGGCTCCATATGAGCAACCATTGACTACAATAATTTACTGTATATAGTAAAACATTGGTCGTGAATCTAAGGAATAGGGCTAAACCCTGCAAAAGCAATAGGTCCGATAACCCTATTTCATCCTATCTCCGCAGTCTTTGGATATGTTCAGCCATGTTGATGACATTGTGGCCAAAACCTGCAAAAGCGGGCCCCCCTCAAAATCCTTCCTTCGCACCATCGCTGGCAGTCCCCTACACCTCCTACGCTTTCCATCGGCCACAGCAGGATGTCACGACCTCAAATACAACAATGGCTGGACAGGTAGGTAACATCAAGGTTGACAGCCCTACACACGTGACCGACCGACAAACCAAAAACTGCAGCAGCGTTTTCACCGATCTTGCGACATGCCCGCACGACGACACACGCCTCGAACAACCGGAGGTCGCTCTCGCACACCATCGCGGGCAAACATTGCCAACACTGATGACCAACAAGGTCAGGCCAAACTTGGCCTTCAGGAACAACAAGTTCCACAACAAGCCATTGCCACGGCAGTTTCACTCGTGTTTCTTTCCAGACACTACCAAGAAGCTGGGGAGCACCCCCCACACAAACTGCGGCAAATGCAAAACAAGTGCCAGCAGAACAAACACGCGGGCAGTGCCGCAAAACAGAATCGGCAACACAGCAGCCAGCCGCGACGCCGCAGCAGCCCCAGGCAGCAGGCAGAGCGCGGCCGTGCCAGGCCTCAGCGTCGGCATTACTTCATGCATTACCGCCATCATGCGTGAACACAGATGCACTTCCATCTCCACAGCAAAAGAGGCCCTACCATGCACACAATGATGTACACAGACCAGCTCGGACACATGTGTCACACACAACCTGCGCCAGATGCACCTATGGCCCAGCGTGTGGCAGGTTTTACAGCATGTGCCCAGCAACAAGAGGACATGGCAGCGCGTGGCAGACCACTTCATAGTCAGACAAAGCAGCAGAAGATACAACAGCAGTGCAGCAGACAGCAGAACCATACAAACCAAACTGAATTGAGGAGCTCGGTGGGCAAGTCTTGAAAGAACACTTTGCAGCTTTGCCAAATGTTTCTGATGCTGGGTTTCCAGACCCGTGGAACGCGTTGCTCATGTGCGGCTTTGCTTTGTGAGCGCAGCCTTCGTGTTGTTCAAGAATGGTTAGTTATACCAGAGGTATCGCGGTTCAAGCACCTTGATAAAGCGTTTGTATAGTAATGTGGCTGAATGAGCGTGGGATCTCTGCGTAGTTGCCCTGTAACTTAGCTTCACCCCGCCAAGCCGCACGGATCCTCAGTGTTCCCACCAGTGACAGCATCGTCCTCAGCCGGTTTGGCAACCTTCTTGGCAGTTCCTTGTAGTGTCTTCCACACACATGGTTAGCGATGCTATCTCTGCCAGAAAATATTGGCGTTTGCAACAGCCGCTTGAGCACCGCAGGCGGCCACGGGAACACGAGTGATCCTACTGCCACCAAACGATGCCTGACCATGAGCGAATGCTCTGGGGCTGCTCATCTCGTCAGTTGGCCCTGGGATGATGTGGCATTGGAGGGGGCATTTGCAGGCCGGCAGTCGTTGGGAAAAATTGCCAGCAGAAAACCAAGGTTGGCGCAGCAGCTCCTGAAGCAGGCTATGATAGCTTGAAGGCCCAGCAGCAAATATAATCACAATTTCACGTGATGAAATTCCGGTTTTGTCCTCTCCAAGCAGGTGATGAGCGACGAACAAGTACCAACACCTCCTGTCGCTCCTTTGTCTCTTCATGTGGCAACTGAAGGTGCGATTTCGTAGTTCACGGAGCAGGTTCAGTGTTCAGGATGTTGCTCATGCGACAAGATGGTGCAACCCAAGGGCTCAATTTGAGACACTGCCGGTGAACGGAGGGCATTAGGAAAAACAACCATTTCAGTGTGTGAAGTAGTGCATGTTTTTGCTAATGGGCTCAAAACCGCGCGTGTAGTGAAGCTGATTTTTCATACTGTCCTTTGGGGTAATAACACACAAACACACATATGCATTGGAAGATGGAAGATGGGGACAGGGGGGGTGGGGGGGGGGGGGGTAAGTTCCCCAAGGTGGCAGTGAAGTACACTGGACCTGATCGACAACACCAAGTAATACCCTGTAGACTCGATAGCGGAGTGTCGAAGTGTGCGAACGGGAGAGAGCACACTTTTCTATGGCGAGCGGTGCAAGGACCGGCTCTAGTAGTCTTGAGCCAAAAGCAATGTGAACTATGCTGTAAAGCTGACGGAAGAGTATATAATACAAGATATCTACGAACAACAGGTGGTGCTACACAAGTATAGCGTAGACACGCCTAGGGGACCCAGGACACTACAAAATACAAACAGACACAAGTTTTCTTCGTGTCGGAGCTTGCAGCTGCAAAAGTGCAAAAGGAATGCAAGTGAATTACAAAAGTTCTGGCTCCGTAGATGCCATTCTGGTCTCAAACTCAAAATATGACGTCAGACAATCTAATTTGCAAGATTTAAGAGCAGAGTCTTCTGAACTCACTCAGGTCTAATCGGATGCAACTCTTTATGCTTATGCTGGAATTGCCGGAATGTCGGCAATTTTTGAGCATCATCTACCATCGTCTATATTGACGGGACCCCAATACCCAGAGTCATGCCACGAAGATGAAGCAGAGGACTGCCACCAGTCTTGCCTTTCGTGCCTGGGAACGTTCTTTGTCCTTCTGTTTTCAGTAACGTGCAGAAGTATCACTTCGGACTTGAACGTTGGATTTTGCAGCGAGTTGGAAAGTACACTGAAACGGATGATGATAGTCATGGTCGCTGCTTTTTAAGCAAAAATCTAAGTGATTCAAATGCCTCAGGTGCTCATTGACCTTTATGAGGGTTTCTTTTTGACGCGGGGGTCCTTCGTACTCTATACGACCCATGTCCTCCGGAATGTCGGAGCTCCTCTTCACTAGCGTGTGCATATCTTTACCGTAATTTAGCACAATCTGCATGAGGCAGTCCACATCGGCGTCCTGTCCGGCTGATGCTGCAAGCTGCTCTGTGGCAAGCGTGGAGAGCTCGAAATTATAAGCAATACGGTGGTGAGGTTCACGCAGCTTATTAGCGGAAACTAAGATCTGATCTAAAATGGCGCGAACTGAGCCAGTGTCTGGATTGGAATGTCGATCCGACTTAAATTGCCTGTTAGTGAAGAGGTTCGCGTCGCATACTATGATCTCCACTTGGTCCACGACTGCCGACACCAGAACCCAATGTATCTGGGCAAACGATGACTTCCATCTGCCCGGCAGGATCTTCGCCTTTTGCAAGTGCGTCAGAAAGGCTAGTGCGGACTCCTTTACTGGTCGTAACGCTCCCATGTGTATCTTCGGCGATCTCACCCCAGATGATTGAAAAGTTGCCGCGTGCGTAAGCCAATTACTGTAAGGCGTTCTGAGTCGAGTTGTTTGCAGCGCAAAAGCTCAATTCTGGACGTAATGTCGTCCGATGAGCATACACATGCGATCGGGTGCGCGTGCCCTTTCCGTGTGGAGGACGGTTGATGTTACCCGGTTACCCATATTCATCAACAACACTGAGACATGCTCAGTTGTTTGCAGCAGTTTCGCGTCCTCCAAATCAAAGTCGCCTCGGTTAGCGTGGAAGCCAGCCATATGGCTTCGGCTGAGGTCGACAATGTGACGCATCTCCTCGCCGAAATATCGGCGGGTCTGGTCGTTAAAAGCCGCTAGGTCGAACGATTGGATATGGGGCGACCTCACTCTGATTAAACCAGTGCTCAACGATGGTTGGTAGCTGGCTCGTAATGGTAAGTCGGATTGTTGCTGTATAATGGTGCTTGCCCGAGCCTTCTACAATGATCCTACCCATGGCTGTGAAACCAGTGGAGCCACCTCCGTAGACCAGTTCTCTCATTTGTTTCAAGCGTCGGCGGCGGGCAGCCAGTCGGTCTAAACGGTGCTAAGTGCTAACCTTCTGATTCGGGAGCAAGCGGAGTTGCAAAGTCAATAGCCGCAGTTATGTCCTCCCGCTCAGATTCGCCCAGTGGTGCCGGAATGTCGGCGTCTGGGATCGTTGAGTCGAGGTATAGTGAGTTGCGTTTAATTACATTGATTGGCCTTGTCATGGAAGCAGTCAAGCAGGTGCCATGGCCGCAAGCGCGACAGAAGAAGAGAACTTCTTCACGTTCGCATTTGACGCAAAACATGGTGTCTGGCCGCCGCAAATAGACAGTTGATGCTTTCTGGGCGTCGGCGGCATCCTTCAGGACCTCGCGTGCTCGCGAGGTCGCGCGCTTTTTGGCCGTTGGTTCATAATGGTTCATATAGTATCTTGTCTCCGGAATGTCGGAGAATGATACACGGCGTTGGCCTGCTGAAGGAGAGCGGCTGGGCTCAAGAAACCGGTCAGCTTTCTTAATAACTTGGCGAGTTGGCGTGCGTGACCGGGCGCGAGTTGCCCAAGTTCGAGAGCCAGCGTGTTTTTCCTTCTTGACTGCTTCGGCTGACTTGTCTTTGGTTCAAGAACTGCCCGGAATGTCGGACTTCTTCTCACCTTTCTTGAGCCAGACCACTTTTGACCATGCCTCCGCGAGATCGTCCAGCATGTGGTCGTATAATGTGTCCATGACCTGCTGATCATCATCGTCGGCCGGAATGTCGGCATCAACGTCCGCCTCTTCATCGTCAATATCTTGCTCATCAATGTCTTCTTCCGTAGTTTCGGAGAGAGACTTTTTCTTGAGGCGGGCGATGTTGGTCTCCTGATCGCGCCATTCCTCGTTAACACTGAGGCTTATAATTAAGCCATGTTTCGGCTGCCATGGAGCTGGCGGTGGTCGAGTTATTGTTTTGGCTTATCCCTTCGCCACCTTTCGATCTCACGGATCTTGCAATTCTTAAAGGCCAGCTTCCTAGTTTCTACCTTAAATTTATCATGGCCTTGCCCGGTCAACCTGAGGACCACGCAGTAAAACTTGCTGTAAACGCGGAGTTGACGCTCATGGCTGGTGTGGTGGCCGAACACCTTACAGGAAACGCAGCTGCCATTGCGAATGTTCCAAGTTCCAAGCGCATGAAAAGAGACGCGCCGGTGCGGCTTCACGGGTTAAATAGTAACCGTTCTTACTCAAACTGAAACGGATGGAACGGTTCGCCTCCAAAGTGGTCTTTGACAGAACAAGAGCCACGTTTGCCGTAGGTCGGATATGTTCGTGCTTGAGGAGCAGACTGTCAATGGGCAGAAAATGGTTCACGTGACGATGCTCCTGTGCGATTTCCTCCAGCAGGGAGTAGGCCATGTGACGAAACTCAGTCATGTGAACAAGCCTTTCCGGAATGTCGGACATCTCGCAAAGTTCTTTTTTCATCGCAGCCGGAATGTCGGCTCCTCCAGAGTGGCTGGACACTGCCTGAACGAAAACATGTGCTGCTTTAAAGTTCTTGTATTTAGATACAAGCGTCTTTCGTTCTTCGGCAGTTGTCGATGCTGGGTGAACCCAATCACCAGTGAACTCTGCAAGCTTCATGCCACTCTGGCGGTCGCTTAAGAGGTGCGATCTGATAGCGACCCTTTGAATTATAGTAAATGGTAAAGGCAAGTGGAAGCAACGTGTTGATTGTCTGTTGAGAATGTTCGCGCAGGGGGAATCTGCGAACGTTGGATGACAGGACAGTCCTGGTTATCGCTTGCAGTGCAAACTTGCTTCCAATCAAACCAATCAAGGCGAATTTGCGCGTGGGTCCATCCGGAATGTCGGAGGATCCAGCTAATCTCCTTGGAGATCTTCTCGTAAATCCAATTCCTCTGCATACGCTCAATAGACTCCTCATTGAGGTTGAAAAAGCCGGACCAAATCAGCCAGAAACAGAAGAGAAAGCATGAGCTAACTCCGTAGTCTGGTCGTGCGTATGCATTGTCCATCGAACTTGGCCTTGGCCCTTTCTCTTGGCCGCGGCCCTCCTTGCCTTTACCTTTGCCTTTGCCGCTTTGCCCTTGCCTTGGCCGGAATGCCGGTCAGCAGGTGCAGTTGACTCTTCTCTTGATTCTTCACGAGCTGGCTTCTGTCTACGATCGAATCTCTCAATGGTCAAGGAAGAGGCGAAGGAATCGTCTCGGTGACCCGCCAGTCTGGCTTGGGAAATGAAATGACCTTGTTTGATGGTCGTTGGTGGCTCGACATGTTTCGTGAACAGGGGCATGAACGTTTTGGACACTTGAGGCTTTGAGGTCTTTGCGTTTGCGAGACTTGATGTGGCCTAGTCCGAGTCGCCGAACCACTCATTGAATGGAGTATAACCGAGATACCATCTATGAACGTCCGGATGACCCTGAACTCTTTGAAAGTCTGAACAATGTCAATCGTGACGTTTTGGATTTGAAGGAAGTAGATCATGGGTTTCCTGCTGAGGCACGTGAAGAGGATTCTGAACTCCTGGGTACTTTAGACTCCATACAAGATCCCTATGTCGATCGTGACGTCGCCATTGCCGACTCTGAAGGACCACTACTTGACGCAGAACTACTTGATGAGCTACCGCTTCAGGGGTTTCCCGAAGAAGAGGCAGAGAGGCGAAAGGTTTGGAGCCGAGCCCACGAAAAGGCAGGATTGCATCGTTCAGATCTTTAAGAGTTCAAAAGCAGACCCACGGGCTGCAAAGAATTTCAAGTGTGACCATTGTGCTATAAGTCATGAAGGTGACAAGAGACACCCCGTTGCTGCACCTCCAAGATATGAGTTCAACCGTGCTGTCAACTTGTTGACGTGTTTGAGACAAACGATGATGAAGAAGCGCGTCGCAGTTGGTTGTCAATCGTTTGCGGTGGTGCATGTTTTCACCAGGTGGTACATGTTGCTGAAAGGAGGTGGTCAACCAGCCTTGAGCAAGTGCGTTGAGAAGTTCTCACGCTACTGGGCATCATGGGTTGGGTTTCCCAACTGCGCAACCGTGGAGCTTTCGGCCGAGGTTTGTTTGACCGCGGCGTGCAGGTTCGCGCAGCGGGCGAGCGCATGGACGAGGTGAACGTTGGAGGAATCGCGAAGAGAACCTGGAGGCGAGTTTGTCGCGAACAACACGTGATTGGGAAATCTGACTGGAAGACAGCAATGGCCATTATCGTCTCAGAGAAGAATTACGTCCGGCGTTGAGGATTTGTATAGTCCTAGCCAATGGGTGCTAGGCAAAAGGCCAAGCCAAGAGGCATCATTGCGTAGTTGTTGGATGATGAGTTTGCTTACTTGACTTAGGAGCCATCGAGAGCTCGATGGATGGAGCAACTGCTTTCGGACATGCTACGGAGATTCGACATGAGGCGCGAAAAGCTTTTGTCCATCAAGATTGTCACAGGCGTGCGAGGTCCGCTCTTCTACGGAATGCTGCACCTCGTATACCTTGACGATATGCTGCTGGAGTTTAAGCATGGGAAAATGAGACTGGTTTGTCGACCGGTTCACCTTTCGACGTTGTTGTTCCTGATGTTGTCGTGTACAAGGGCAGGCCGGGCTAGTTGAACCTCGGAGCACCGTGTGCAAGATCATTGGATTCGGATCGCCGTGATCCACGAAGGAGTTCCAGTGGCAACTTCATTGAGTAAGTTGAGGCCTCGCACGTCAGCTGAAGCTTTGGCCTTTTCCATCATGAACAACACCTTCGTGCCAGGGCAAGATGAAAGATGAACAAAGATACTCGATTGGAGAGGCGAGGATGACATTGAACAAGAACTACCAGCGCGACGAAGGCAACGCAGGCGAGTCGAGTTCCACGACGATGGACTTGACGTTGCACGTTTGACCCCGATGGCGCCTATGACACCAAGGATTGCGGAAAGGAAAATTTCAACGGCTACAGAATCACCGGCAAAGTGCACCTGTTTCTGGATGTTTCCATGAAGTGCTGAACTTCCGAACCTTCGAGGCACGTGTCGATAGAAGAGTCAATGTCACAAGTTGCGCTTCCCAATTCCCAGCTCCCTGGATGCTTCAAGAGTACTGCAGCTGTATGGCCGAGGGAGTGAACGCGCGAGATGCTGAAACCTGGTTGCGGAAGAAGAAGAAATACACCCCAAAGAAGCGCAAGCAATGAGCCATGGGCAAGGTCTTCAACTACAGGAAAGGCTACTAGCAGAGTGGTGGAAGTGGAAAATTCAACGCATCCATTGGTTTGTCGCTACAGGACTCAGAGGACTTGGTGGGATGAAGGCCATCAGGCCATAGGCGCGCAGTGGATAGACACCAAGAACAAGCCCTTCCGGACGCCTGAGAACCTGACTAGGAAGACTTGTGGAGGGAAGATCAATTCCTGATGTGACCTTACAAGGCAAAGAGATGGACAGGGTTCTACTTTTGAGTCCGCCGCGTGATTGGCATTCTCGCAAGAGTACCTACATGCGCGATGAGAAGCCCAAGGATGTGACGGACAGCGTTCGCTGGGTGGACACCGACGTGATGTTGGCAGACCCTTTGACGAAGGTCATGGATCCGTGCATGTTGGTTCAGGCTTTGGAGTCGAACAAGCGGAACTTGGAGCAGCCGATCAATGCCGTGATTGTGAAGAAGGCAAAGCGGCTCCAACGGAGGAAGACAGAGACCAAGGGACTTCTCGAGGAGTACAAGAGTCTACTCTACAAGGGAGGAGAGACTTACTTGGGAGACGACTTGGACAAGCTGGTCGTTGTCACCATGAATGCAAGCCGGATGCATGCGTTGGAGACAGATGAGCGACCTGAAGTCAAGATGCTGGCAGAAGACCGAAGAGTTCACAAAGTGGAATGAGCTTCGGGAGGGGCAGATTCAGCTGGAGAAGATGGTGAGCGTCTGCAGCCGGGACAATGGAAGACCTGAGAGAATCTGAGTGAGCGTGAGAGTTTTGAATCGGTTTTCGTAGGACTCGTAAAAATTTCTTCAGGCCTTGAGCTCTCATAGAAATTACACCACGCCGAGTAGCGCATGTTTTTGTACCGCGCTATGCTTTGCAAGCATAGCGCGTGGTGACATTCTGCTGGGGCACCCTCTTTTACATAGACTGGTTCTGAGACCGCCGCAGGGTACCTGTTTGAGTGAAGCCGCGAAAACAAGGCTACCAGCTGTTGTCAGACAGTGACAATGTTGGTTGGGTTCCCCGCCGAAGTTTCTCGGAGTCCGTCCCAATTCTACATGGGGACGCAGCTGATCGTCGTGACTTATTTGGAAGCAACCCCAGATTTCATAAGACGCATAGAGACAGGAAGCATACGACGATACAAGGACCTCTCGAGACGCAACTAGGGAACAGCAAAGCAGAGGCAATTAGAGCTAGCTCAAAGGCTAGCGACTAGGTTCTAGATAAATATAGAATATAGAATATATATTCAAAAATAGTTCCCCCGTGAACTGTCTCAACGTTTGACTAGCTCACCACACCCTGACGTACCAAACGAGTTAGGCTAGCGCAACATTTGGCTATCTAGCTTGACTGGCTCACCACGGAGCTTGTTCAGAATTTAGTTGTCTCGCGAAACCAGCCGCAAAAACTGTGATTTGCAAAATGCAGCAGCAAATGCGTATTACATCTACAGAAACACTACCAGAATGTTTTCTCTACTGTACACACACATATAGATACACATATACATACATATATCATATAGACATATTTATATGTACAGTATATATACAGTACATACACACAAGCAGAGCTCAAGTTTTGCGTGGTTCTCACTGTAGCTGGTAGCTTGCAACTTTGAACAACCTACCAGTTAACCGTTTGCTGACGCACCGTTTGCTGACACACCGTTTGGCCGCAACACTCAACTTGGGCAGCAACAACACGTAGCAGTACGCCAACATTGCTCAATGCTGCTTTAGTCATTCTTCAGTCCGCCGCTCACACGCAGCTTTGACCTAAGGAAGGAAATTCAGGACCCAACTTGTCACCACAAGCAGATCCAAATATTGCTTGTCTGAGTGTCCTTGCTCCATTGAACTTTCCACAGCGGCAATTGTCATTATTGGAATCTATAGAGGAGGAGGTCTTTGTTTGTTCGGGAACACAAGGCAGACTGTAATGCAATTGGGCGGCCTGGCCAAAGAGAAGTAGCCAATAACGGTTATTCGTGGGAGGTTTGGTTCCTTTTGATTCTTTAGCACTGGTGCAGCAAATGGATCCCTGTGAGGCAGTGAGCTGGAGGAGGTCATGCTTGAAGATACTCCGGTATCTCCTACCCCTCGTACGCGCACCGAAGGTCCAAGAGAGCGTTCGAAGAACATTATTGTTTTTTCAATTAGATCCCGTCAGATCCTGTTGGCTTTTTCAATTATAATTAGAAGCATCGCTTCAAGCATCTTCAGAACGTTACGCTTCGCCATGCTGCTAATTATGTTTTGCTAGGGCTCACAGCCTTTGTCGAGCGGTCGCCTGCCACACCTACCACACCGCGACGGAATTGGCTGAGCCGTTTGGGCCGTGGACTTCGTGGCTCAGCGATGTGCCGAGATTTTTATTGAAAAGGAGAAGAAAACACGGATTTGGGATTTGGGGTTTCTTGATCAAGGCAACCTTTCAAGTTCAACCAACGGGGCCTTAGCAAAGAGGCCCAAGCGCCTTCTTTTTTCTTCTCTGTGTAATCTGCTTGTATACCATTGTATGCCTGCGCCCCAACTGAAAGGGAAGGGACCTTTGTGGGCAATTGACAGACAAGATGAATCATGAGTCATGAGTAATCTTCATTCTTCGTGTAGTGAGACCTTCAATCAGTGGCAGGCAGCTCAGTTATATATCAGTGCTGTAGAGAGGGAGTGACCTTCAATCTGATATGCGTGCAGTGCATAAGTGATCATACAGACATACAAAAGCAAACAAACAATCTAGGAATCAAACCATCAGCGAGAGCGTGAGCTATCCTGCGTCCTGTTCCTAGGAGCGAACTAGTAGCTAGTAGCTTACTCCTCCCTAGGGAGGGGGCCGCTGACAAAAAAAAACTAGACGACGAGTGGCCCGAAAGCATTTTTCCATCGCGTAGGAAGTCAGAGTGTGAGTTATCTGTTAAGTGTTCAGTGTGAAGTGTTAAGTCGAGTGAGTTGAGGCAGTGTGTGGGTCTCTGTGTGTGTGTGTATCTATGTCTGTGTGTGTATGAGTCTCTGTCTCTGTGTGTGTGTGTCCGAGTAAGTTGAGGCAGTGCGTGAGTCTCTGTGTGTGTGTGTCAACCTCTCAAGAGAGCCGGGTGGTCGGGAGACATGACTCAGCTGCAGGGGCTCCAGAGCAGCCGCGAGAGATGACTCAGCCGCGAGAGATGACTCATCCGCGTACTAAAGTTGTACTACAAAGTCGCCAGTTCTCAGCTTCCAGCTCCACAGATTGCTCCGCGTACTAAAGTTGTACTACAAAGTCGCCAGTTCTCATCTTCCAGCTCCCCAGATACTCCGCGTACTAAAGTTGTACTAGAAAGTCGCCAGTTCTCATCTTCCAGCTCTCCAGATACTCCGCGTACCAGCTCCACAGATTGCTCGGCGGACTAAAGTTGTACTATCCCCGTGCCAGAAACCTCTAAAAAATCTAGGGGGTCATGGCATGGTATGGCGTAAACCGCTTTATGAGATGGTCCCTTGAGGGGGTCTGCGTGTGATTTTATAGAGAACTGGGTGCTTGATAGGAAGGCTGCTAGGAAGGGCACCTGGGCTTCATTGTGGCACTTGTGCTTTGCTGGCTGGGTGGGTGGTGGGGGCAATGCTTCATAGGATCGATTCATAGGAGAAGTGTGGGCCTAAGCTTTAACCCCACCCCTCAACATGCAATAAACGTGTGATAAAGTGTGTCTTTGGGAT